CACACTTAATCAAGGCTTGTAAATTCCAAAGTCTACTATTTATGCATTTTCAGTAGTATTTAGTTTAATTGTCGTAGAAAAGGACAAAACTTGGATAATCTTGCATGTAATCCCATTAGTTGGGCCTTCTTACGCATGTGTGCTAAGTTTACCATCACGGTTATTTTGTATAATTTTAAAGTACATGAGTGGAAATCACATTAATACTGGTCGCCAATAGTCTAGCAGTAATCACACACGGACTTGTCATAGGAATGTATATATATATATATCAAATTAATAAAGAGTTAACAGGTGAGAAAATAAATTTAGGTCAAGTTAAAAGCACATATTGAAGGTCAAAATAACAATGAAGATCACTAAACCAAATAATAGAGGTAATAGTACATCTACCCTGGCTGGTATCAAAACAAAATTTACCAAGGAAGGTTTAATGTGATGACGAATTGTTTTTGAACGTATAAAGGTGGTTTAAACTTTCTAATTGCCAGCTAGGGCTTCCACAAACTTTAGGATACGTCCCAAACACGTTTTATAGGTAGGTTTAAAAGACATGTAAACATCAATTTTATGTCCTGTCTCAATAACAGTTTTCGTAATAAAGGAGCTAAGTCTCTTGTTTTCACCATTAATGGGTTCTGAAGATTCTATTTGTTTCTGGAGCCATTTAGGAATATGCTCTGAAGCCCTTAATACCAGAGATCGATGAGTCCTCCCTATGTATGTTTGTTCACACATGATCAGATTGTTCGAAATGTGTTGCGCAAATACACTACACGATTCAGACAAATTACTACACTTCCTATGTCCATTTTATAGCTAGATTTGTCTCAGTAATTCTGTTTTATCAAACACTTGTCAATTATACAGGCAACTAACTAAAATTTGTGTAAAATAAGATAGATAACATTAATAAGCTTTAACATGTTTCTAGTAATGAATAAATATTTAGATAAATGAACCCTTTCATTTGGTTGATATAAAAGTTAAATTTTCCTGGCAAAATTATTAATTACTACATCCACTGAAGATACTACAAAGTTGCAACATCTAATGTGTTATTTCCGGACATCCTTTATTTTTTGGTTACAATCATCAAATGAGAGTAAAATTATTTGGCTGAATAATAGACTTTACAGTGTACAAATTTATTTGTATACTTACATGTAAATACATTAGCGCTGGATTATGTCTCCCTTGATTATCTGACGTCGATAACTTCAAACTTATGAGTTGTTGAAAGTCATGTTTCTTTTTGAAATCTTGACGATAAAATACTTTGAAATAACCTCCGATTCGCCCTTACATTAGGATACACGATGTAAATAAAAATATAACAGTCACATTAGGGATAGCTAGAAAATAATTATTTGAATAGTTGGAGGATTTCATCATGAGCTGACATCAGTCAAAGAACCATTGAAAAACCTGGGAGTACTGGACAGCTGTTTCGTCCTAGTTAGGACTGGCTCTTCGGGAGTACTCACCCACCGGGGTTCAAACCCACAACCTTCTGGTTAAAAGGCGAGCTTGTAGACCATTAAGACACTCGGACCTGATGCTCACTAGCAACTGACCCTATTCAGGCAGTGACCTGGGGTTCTAGTGAGAAGCCGTAACCATTAGGGTTCAGTAGGTTGAAGGTGAGGCAGTAGCTCATCGAAGAAGACATTGCTAAGTGGTCGCGCTATTTCGTGAATTGGCAGAAGTTGTAATTCATGGGACATTGGATTGAGTCACAGTGGCTTAATGATCTAGAAGCTCACCTTGTAACCAGAAGGCCCTGGGTCCGAACCCCGGTGGGTGCGTACTACTGAAGAGTCCCAAACTAGGACAAAACAGCTGTCCAGTACTCCCAGGTTTTCCAATGGTTCTCTAATTGATATCAGCTCATGATGAAATTCTCCAACCAATCAAACAAATTCCCCACGAAAACCAATACTTGAAAATTATTTGAATAGTTCCATTAAACTGATGAAGTATTAAAGTGGAAAGAACAGACTACTGTAGGAGGAATTGTAGTGATTTACATAAAGGGGAAGTAACTTAAAATGGATTAAGACTTAAAAATTACAAACATATTTCTTGTCATCCTCACTGTTCATTTAAAATGGACAGCCCGAATATGTACAGCATAAATTAAATGCTACAATAAATATTGAAAACATTTCAAGAATGAATGCCAAGAATACATTTAATTCAGTTTCTTTTTATAATATACCAGTTTTGTGATACATTCGTATGCATTCGATACGTATATACACATTCGAGAACACTATTCAGATTGGCTAACAAAGGGACGACGTATGTGTGTATATTGGCTTAGTAACGGAACATCTGCAGGACTCAGAACATACAACCCCACTTGGAAAGTCCTACAAAATCCTATACAAGATTCGAGCAGACCTCTCAAACGAGGTAACATCAAGGTATCTGGGTATAACTGAGGCACTAGCGATTCAAGTTCAACACTATGTATTCAGAAGAAATACATCCATTTTTCCTTACCACTGCCATCATAAATTGTCACTTCTCTCAATAGCGATTATTCTATTACGTTTCTTATTCAAGCTTCCTATATATGTTTATTATTACTGCGGTTGTAGTCTCTGATTGTACAAAAAGTCAATTTTCTCAATAATTATGATCCTACTATGTTTTTATGCAATCTTCCCGTTAATTATTGTAATATTGCATTTTAATCCCTATTTGTAATCTTGTTAATTTGACCCGCCACCGGAGATAGCTCAGGAACTTTCTCATTCATTAACTATATTAATGCGAATGTACAGCCTGGTTGGTAGCTTCGTCGAAAAGAAAATATTCTACGTTGCAACTATCTTTATAATTTTTCCTATGATCGAATGTCTATATCCCATGATACATTCGTTTGTCGATAACGAAATACAGAAATAACAAATAAGCTTTCTATTTCTACATAAAGATGAAAAGTATTTTGTATGTTCTGAGACAAACTGTTTGATGATGAACATTTTAAGATACGCTTTGTTTACATAACTGGTACTAAATCGGGTAAGAATTGATGATCATATCGATAAGTCAGACAATCCTGAAAAACACAAATCAAATTTTCTTACATATATATGGTAAGATACATTCTTCTAACACGATATTACATCCTTCAAACAACAACATGATCATCTGAATAGTCAGTGACAAATAACATCGTTTGATTAAAACCAGGACAAGAGGAGTGATCCAAAGCAACATGTGTTTGATGGGAGAGAGTACTTTGGTAGTACAAAGTTCAACCAGGCCATCTAAATCTTTCTGACAGTTTCCTAATTCATTTCCACAATTAATATAAGAATAAGAAGCAAATTTGACCTACACTCACTCATTTTTCATCGTCTTCTTCTTCATCAACGCCATCTAATATAGGAGGATGGGAACCCTCTATTTATACACATCGATGATTTTTATGTATGCATTAATCAAATTGATGATAACAGGAAGATCAACTTTAAAGTTTTAATGCAAATTCATCATTCATTGGTTCAAATATACTAGGCAGCCTGAATAACTAGATACTGGTAAACTAAAGCTGTTTTATTGGTTACAGGATTTCACCATGAGCTGATATCTGGGAGTAGTGGACAGCTATACCTTTCTTGTTTGTGCCTCTTCAGTATCACGCACCAACTGGGTTTGAACCCAGGACCTTCTGTTTACAAGGATGGCGAGCTCGTGGACCATTAAGCCACTGGGACCTGATCCAATGGCCCATGAATTCCAACTTCTGCGAATTAATGACAGCGCGACCACTAGCCAAAGTCTTCAGCGAGTATTTGTCCTCACACCCGACTTGGTGTACCCTACTGGTCACGACTTCCCACTAGAACCTCAGGTAACTACCTATCTGAATAGAGTCAGTCGCTAGTGAGCATCTCATTGATTTTCAAGTATCGAATCCCTACAAACCAAACATTAAAGCTGTTTTAATCAGGAAACTATGGAAATCCAATGCGCAGTGAAATTTTCAAGGTGTGAAGCCAACAATGAGTTGTATTCACCGTAGTGCTGAGATAAATCACTCTTTTGTTACTCTAAACACAGTTTATTGGTTCACTATATTATGATGTCTTAAGATCACACTTAAAGTGACAGTAAATAATACTTTCCAGTGAACTGCATCAAAAATTATCAGATGAATTTTTGATGCAAGTGAGTGGCTAAAGAGATTATGCGAAACTTTGATATCGTTTCAAAGTAAGCGGTTATTATTATTTCCTTTAATTCCTAGAGGAACATAGGGCTTCAGCCGTGCATCTCCATTGCGTCCGGTTCTCTGCTAGAGTTTTCACCTGGCTCCAAGCCTGCCCACATGCTTTCATCTCCTCTTCACATGACCTCCTCCAAGTCACCCTTGCACTGACGACCAACTCGCCGCTTCCCTTTCGGGTTCCACTCGAGCAATGGCTTGTCTAGTGATGTCACTTGATGGTTTCCTCAGAGTATGGCTAATCCATCTCCATTTCTTCCTGCCTATTTGTTGCACAATCGGTTCCTGGTCGGTTCGCAGTAAATTATGTTAACTTCTCATTACAAGATGTGACAAAATACTGAGTAATCCTTTAGGCATTTCCGCACTATACATACGTTTCCTGATTTTGTGCAACTGAGGTCTGTAAATTAAGCTACTTCGAAATACAATCACATATGTCCATCCACAGACTAATAGATCTTGTATGAAAATTCCAAAGACAATAGGAAACAAATTTATGTATACGGAATTTTCTGATATCCTGTCATAGGACACTTTACTGTAAATTTGTTCAGTTTTCCCCCGCTATACGTAGTATATCCAGTGCTTTTTCAGATTGCTTCACTCTCTAAGCTTCCCATTTAACTTAAATCACCAGGTCTTTAAAATGTTAAGCATTCCTCCAAACAGTAGTCCATTTGAATTATATAAACAATTATTGGTGATAAATTGCCCACAAATTCTCTTCATTTTTTTACTTGTTCTTTGCTTACAGATGCTTAGCTAGAAATACAGCTACAAATGATGAATGGATAAGCAGTGAGGCAGTTGTTTTGAATGTTTTATTTCCACCACAACGTGTAAGCCTCAGTTTTGGGAGTAAATCAGTAGTTCATAGTGGTGAACAGTTGGTTATTAATTGTCAGGCTGATAGTTCTAATCCAGTTGCAGTTATTACCTGGCGTCATTATCAATGTGGACCAGCGCATGCATTCTATCGTCGTCATTTATTGCAACAACAACAACAGCAACAGCAACATCAACAAAAGTTAACAAATGCTATCAGTACTAGTGATGGTGAAAAGTGTAAATTATTAGAATTGAAAGGTAAAAGTTTTTCACGTACAATAAAAAGTGTGTTAATATTTTTATATAACCCTTTTGCATATGGATTGTGAAATTCTTAGACAATGATAGTTTATAATGTGATTCGTTGATAATCAATATGTGAAATATTAGTTTAAACGAATGAGAATCCGAGGATTATGAGACGCTTTTGAGGTCTTATAATTTCATTTCTACGGCTTCTCATCAGCTCCATACGGACTAAAGAAATTATTAAGTCTATGTGCAGAACAATTTTAAAACGCTCTCAAATGTTACATAATTTCAGTGGACAGGAGACCCCAAACTTAATCAACAGTGATCAGGATCTACACCTATGTAGCTTATAAGCATGAAGTTCAAGTTTAATAAACAAAATTGGATAATTGCTTGAATACAATAGCAAACATGTACGAAAATGCATACTTCCCAAGAAAACAGATGCTTACAGTAGTGCTTTCAGAAAGAAGCAGTTGTCAGTATTTTTCACGCTGCTAATTAACTGTCTTTGATCTCTCCTTCATTTTATTACGTAATCTTTGTCTTTAACCTCTCCCCCTTTGTCATAGCCTGACTTTGCTTGTATTTTGTCACCATGATTTGAGCTGAACACACTATACTGTTATTCAGCTTATTAGTTACTCATCATCGTGTTCACCTCTAGTCTCTATTACATAACTCTTTTGCCATTGTATCCAAGCATTTATTTCCTTTGTTAAACGTTGAACTTTCTGGGCATAAACAAATTAGTGAAATTTCTGACCACTGTTTATTAAGTTTAGAGTCTCCTGCCACCTGACATTATGTACCACTTACAAGTATATTAAAATTCTACTGTACGAAAACTTAACAAAAATGATGGTACCAACGTACTCTGCACAAACTCTTGTTCTTGCTTCATTCAAATTCATAAAGGGGAATAAGTGTAAGAAATCTTATTGCTATTCTGTATTTGAACATAATGATCTTCAGGCGACTAACGAATTATAAGACTCAACTAAATAATTACACCGTACATAAAAGAATAGTTTTGATAATGTTTATCTAGCTGTTTGCCGCTCTTTTACAAAGGTGAACACTGTAATTCAGACAAAGTGAGAGAATTCTAAGATGTGTAAAAAGTTTTCGTATGAGAAAAAGGCCCTAAAATTGGACTACAATTAGACATCTGGTGACCACCTATCAAAATCCAGAGTGAAGTTTATCAAAACATGGATTGTGATATGGTACATATGTGTTATGCAAACACCTGTTTGCAATTTGGATTTCTTCACAGTGATAACAAAAGTGTACACCACACTCTGTAGGTGATTTTTTTGCATTGGGAGTACCTGGTAAAATTAGGTAGGACAATTATGGATATAAATTATTTTGACAAAGTCTCACAGGGCTATACAGTAATATTTACTGATGACCACGTTTCGAGAACAATTTATTACTGCTCATAATCATATCAAGGTACTCACTCATACAACTTTCTTGCTTCATTTATATACATGAGTAAAAATTGATTAGACATTTGAATAAAATCAAACCTACAAACTCACTCAGAGACAAGCTCTGTAGGCTAAAGGACCCGGTGTACCCAATTAAACAAAATATAAAGTTTACAAAATACCTTGCAATGACTGTTAGAAGGATTGAACCAACGAAGATAAGTAATTTAGGAAAAAAACTCAGCCGTCGACCTGCATGCATTAACACACAACCTTACAATAGGGTGCGTGGGACACAGTCAAAATTCTGTAAAGTAATACGGGTAGGTGGAGAGAGAGATTGATTACTGAATCCTGGTTTATCGAGTCTACACGCAGCACATGCAATAGAAGTGACTCAGCGCAAATACCAGAGATATGGAAGATATTGTTACTAGTCAAATCAGAGGATAATAAATAATGTTAAAATGTATTCAATTCACATTATAACATTTCAACAAGTTATTTATTTTACTATAAAAACATCTTATTTCCCATCTGATTGTATTCTATTGATAACACTAACATTATTTCCGAATTAGATGGTTGGAGGCAATCGGCCACAGGAAGTCTTGGACCTAGGTTTCGTGCAAGTTGGCACTCATCAGCAAGGCGTATCTGCAACCTTGAAGGAACTCATGTCCCTTCTGAGATTCGAACCCATGTCACCCAGTGCTGCAGTCAGAGACGTTACCACTGAGTTATTCAGGCTCGCGATTGACCTCCTGTAGGACTGTATTGGATAATTTTGATTGCACACTAGTCAGTAACTAGTGTAATGTGTTTAGTCCTATCTTCGCTGCAGACTGAATTCTATCAGTCAAGCTTGCAATGTGGCCACCATGCTAGGTGGCTTGCCATTACGGGGCACTGTGAACTGCTGGTAATAGATGCTTGAAGGCAATCGGCCTTGCTGATGAGTGCCAACTAGCACGAAACCTAGGTCCAAGGCTTCCTGCCGATTGCCTCCAACCATCTATTACCAACAATTCACAGTGCACCGTAATGGCGAGCCACCTAGAATGGTGGCCACATTACAAGCTTGACTGATAGAATTCAGTCTGCAGCGAAGATAGGACTAAACACATTACACTAGTTACTGACTAGTGTGCAATCAAAAATTATTTCCGAATGTACTTTATCTTATACTGATTTTATTCAAATGTCTAATCATCAATTTTTACTCATGTATATAAATGAAGCAAGAAAGTTGTGTGAGTGAGTGCCTTGATATGATTATGAGCAGTAATAAATTGGGCTCACACTAGCTGCACATTCAAACATCAAAACAAAGCACAGGTCAACCTGCACTATTTGAACCTTTGGTTAAGGTGAAAGCGTATTTCTGAGGATTTTCGACTTTAACAGCATGTTATAGGAGTTCATAAGCGTTTCTTAGAGAACTATCTTGGGTTTTCATAAATACCACCTATGCGCATACTGATATAGTTACACTCAACATCGAAAAATAACTATGTCTGTACAAGACCGTCCTTTATAATTCGATGACAATAACCCAATATGAGATTATTATTTTGAAGATAAGACAGATGTCATTAGTCATTGTCTAAGTACTTGACTCTTATTTTTGATAATAATCATTGTCATATGCATAAGTTGTCAGTTAATTCAAGCATATTAATTTCAGTATGATCCGTGAGAAATGTCGTGTCGAAAATGTCACATCAGTCTCAACTCACATATTAGCAACAATTCATAATCTCTTGCTAAAAATATCTAATATGCGACAAAAGAAATTTTTAGCATAACTTGTGAATGCAAACAAGTTGTTTTAATGTTTCTAACTAGATACCGCTTTTCAAGTGAAAAATGCTTCTATGAAATTCATTTAATGAACTATATTCAATGACATATAATATGTATTCTCATTGGGCAGATTTAAAATTCTAAAATGTCAATTACAGTCCCATTAGATTTGATATAAGATTGAATTGATCAACGAGAATTTATTCATTAAAAGTCTTTCAATTTTTCACAACACACTGATTTGAAATTATTGATTTTTAATAGGTTCAGACGAATCGCCAGTCCCTGGAGCATCAGGTGGTCTACAAGCAAGAAGTCATTTATGGTTACGTCCAACTTGGAGATATCATATGGATTTCATTGAATGTCAGGCTGAAAATCCTGTTTACGGTCCACCAATTTGGCATGATCGCCTTCAGCTAAATGTAACTTTTGCCCCACAATTCTACGGTCTGCAGATTGGTGACCAAAGGGTAATACGAGAAGGTTAGTTGAGTTTTCAATTTACACAGTATTTATTATTTTATTCTATTCCTTCACGTTTCGAGTGGAACGTAGGGCTTCAGACTACAGCTTTGAAGTTTCGGCAGCATTAGTTTTATTTTCACGTGGTGGGATTGCTAGCCCCACGCTCAGACTTCCCTCTTTACCGGCTCAATACCGGCTTAACAAAGGTATGGGAGTGCGTCGGCCGGAGATCGGACCCCTGACCTTTAGTGTGGTTGGTGATGCTCTAAGGCTGAAACACTGACGCACACAAAGTGCTTGAACATTTAATTATTTATTGGACAAAAAGGTTTATTATTTTTATTACTACTATTATTGCAAATAGTAATTCTTTTTTATCTAAATATATGCGTAATAAGTGAAAGATGATCTACTCAAACTTCTGGGATTAGAAATTCTGAAATTAATTATTGCCTCAAAATTTACTTCAACTTAATGCCATGTATATTTCATAAGGAATGGAATTAAAGTCATTACGACTAGTGATTTACTGTCTGGTATATACGATACGACTTTCAACCTTTTTCCCAAAAGTAGACATTTAGAAAATTATATACTGATTAACGATTACTGTTAAGAACTAAGCTTTTTAGAAAATAATTACTCACTAATACCATATCACCACTTGTTAGCAAGTGGTATCGGCATTCTCTGTGGGGCTTATATTCCCCAAAAGGACGAAACTCGCACCAGCCATTAAGGCAGTTAGATGTGTTTCTTCTGAGAGTGGTGACCATATTATGTACCTGGCTAGTAGAACTGATTTAATTCTAAGAACCGAAAAGGATGACATTAGCTGCTACTTAATGAACAATCCAGTGAATTTCAATTTATTTGCTGATGAAATTAAAGGCCAAAAAATGTTAAGTACATTTCCCCTGCAGTTCAGGAATAGAAAACAGTTAGATAAACATATACTTCTCTATCTTCACTGTCTAAAAGGGGTGAACTATTTCAAGTTTGGTGACGGACTGATATAGATTAGAGAATCACTGAAAGCCAGGGAATACTCAACAGCTGTTTCGTCCTAGTTTGAGACTCTTCAGAAGTATTCATCCAACTAATACACGACTCAGTGCCAAAAGAATTCGAACTCCCAATAATTCGTGATTTTAGCGCGACCACCATCCAATGTCATCGGCGAATATTTGTCCTCACGCCCGACTTTGTGAACCCCAATAGTCACGACTTCTCACTACAATTCCAGGGAACTTAAAACTGTGCCCAGTGACTAGCAAACATCAGGCTACTACTTAAGAGTTAGTTTATATGGATATGATTTGTTTCACGTTTGACCACAGATTGATATCAATTAAAGAACTACTGAAAACCAGGGAGTACTGGACAGCTTTTCCGTCCTACTTTGAACCCTTCGCTGGCACGCACACACCAGTGATTTATTTCATCCTTTTGCAGTCCGAGTAGAACATGGGGCTTCAAGATTTGAAGTTACAGTGTTGTCTTTACATAGTGAGGTTGCTAGCCTCACGTTCAATCACTCCTCTCTCTTGTCTGCCTACTGCTGGCTGGTAAACTAGACGAGGTTGAAAGTGCGCTGCCTTGGTATCCAACAGAGACCTCCCATGTGGCTGGCAAGCATTTTACCAGTGAACCGACATTGGTGAAGATAACATTTAATATTTTCAACTGAAAACATCATAAGCATTTGTTCTGAATGAATTTAAATACACAATATATACTTTAAAAGTAATCAACACTAATAACACTGAACTCAGATGGTGACAAATTTTAATAACATTATTTTTCGATTATTCTATCCTGTGAGGTCATTAAAAGGTGACTAAATAATTCAATTAGGCAGACATCGATGTTTTGCTTTGCCCTCCATTAATACACTTTTCTATTGTTCCTTTACTAACCTTAAATTAAAGCCAGCGAAAAAATAAACCTTAGAGCTCCTATGCTATTAGTAAAAATCGGAACACTTACATTTTCACGTTCGAATTCCTCGAAGCTGACATTATAGTTTTTGCAGTTTCATATATAAACAGCTTGATTATTTTTTATGTCATTATCACTCAGACAGTAATCTTACTCTTCCCATCTAAATCTCTCTCTGTGTAGGTTTAATGCAGTAGGTTAAATTTATCAGTATCAGCAAAACTACAAACCCTTCTTACTTATTATTCTGATTCATTCATTTTTTTGTTGGACAGTAGCAAAAGAGTAAGCGGGTTTTATTAGGAATTGAAGACCTTAGGATAAATAACATATCCAGTGGTAGAGGCCAGTACTGAAGAAGGTTAGATTAGTTGTCGTTCACTAATCAAGCTGTTAATCGGTGAGTAGTCCATTAGCCAGTGTCATGGACCTATTCAGATGAAGTGTACATTCTCTTGCACTAATGACCATTCGACTATTATTTTGTAAAGTCCATGAACGAATTCCATGAATGGAACGCTCCCTTCTTTTGATTATTACAATCGTTATGTCTTTGCTAGCTGCAAGGTAATTACTAGTTTACTCCAACTGCTTTCTTAGTAAAGCTTCAGCTCTTTCTTACCTCTAAAAGCATAATTATTGTTTCAGGTTTAACCACGGATTTATATCAGTTAAAGGACTATTGAAAACCAGGGACTGCTAGACAGCTGTTTTGTCCTTGTGACTGGTAAGTCCTGAATTCAAACTCTACTGGGTGCATACTGTCTGTGAGTCTCAAAGTGTGAAGAAATAGCTGTCCAGTACTCCCTGGTTTTCAGTGGCTTCCTAATTGATATCAATCCTTCATACATTTATTCCACTTTATGAATTTGAATAACAGTTTGTGCACAATAAAGTACCAATCCGTGGTCAAATATGAAACAGATCAAATCCGTACAAACTGACTCTTGGGAAGTAATCTGATGCTCGCCAGTGACTGGTGACGTTGTCTGGAGTTCAAGTGAGAAGCCGTGATCAGTAGGGTCCCCCAGGTCAGACGTGAGGACAAACACTAGCTGACATCGGCTAGTGGCCGCCATGAAATCACAGGTCGAAAGAAGTTGGGATTCGTGGGCCATTAGATTGGGTCCCAATGTCTGAGAGGTGTACGAGCTTGTCCCTCTAACCTGAAGGTCCTGAGTTCGAACCCAGCAAGGGGAGTACCTATGAAGAGTCTCAAACTAGCACGAAACAAATGTCTAGTATTCCCTGGTCTCCAATGGTTCTCTAAATTTTAGTTACGTTTACGATTCATATATTAATGACGCGCCTATAGGTATGAATTAATACGCAAACTGAAGTCACCATCAAAACACTTCGCTGCCACTATGTAATAGTTTCACGAATGTCATCCAATACCCTCGTAGTTTGTGCTCTTGAAAAGACACTCCGTTCATCTAAGTTGAATAAAAGTTAGATTTGAATGGGTTTACATAATTTTATAGGTTTTATGACCGTAAGAGCTGTTTCTTTAAAGACTAATATACTGCATTAAGTAAGTCCAGAAAGTAACTACTAGTGAATTTACGCCCCATTAATTCCCATTCGAAATGCTTTATTGATCATTGAATAAAACCTTCTTCATGCCAAATACTCAGTTTTACATCGACCTCTATAATTCCCTAAAGTTTTATTGAGAATCATATTTATTTAATGATACTTTCCATTCGCTTTTTGCTCCACTAAACATATGAAGAAGAATATACTTAACTCTATGAGTCAAGACAAATTTTTAATTTATTGAGCTACAAAACTGTACAAAAACACAAATTTTCTTCGGATAACTATTTTTCTCCCCAATTTTATATTTGATTGTCACTCGTGACAAACGGTAAAATAAATTTATATTATGTGCTACATTTCAATAAGAAAAGAAGAGACAAGGAACAGCAGAATCACCAGTTATGTGAATACTCTGTCAACTATTTTCGTGTTTATCCGTTGAATTCTAAATAAAGCAATAACAACAACGGCTGGTGAGAAATAAGATTGTACCATCGTTTATTTCGTCGGCTTCTCATCAAGAGAGTGAAGCATAAAAAATCTAATTATATTTATGAACAGAGGGGTATTAACGTACTGACAAAGGTGGCATGATGTAAGTTCTCCTGGAGACTCCAAAATTAACAAGCAGTGTTCAGAAATTACACACATATAATTTATGTATGGAAGGTTCGCGTTTAAACGAAGTACAATGGAAAGGGAGTTGCGTGATAAAGACAGAAGGTGAATAAGTTGATGATTAACTCATCACATTAATGCGCAGTCTCTTAGTTATTTTCATTTTACTGTATTTTATCTAAGCATTTTTTTTCTTTTTGGTTTTGTTTCATTTAAACTTGAACCTTCTGTATGTAAGTTATATATAAATGTGATTTCTGAGCACTATTAGGTGATTTTGGAGTCTCCTGTGAACTAACATCATGTCGTCTTTGCCAGTACGTTAAAACTCTTCTGTTCATAAACTTAATTTTTTTACACTGTACTCAGCGGATGTGAAACCAACGAAATAAGTGATAGTACCATCTTATCCTCAGAGAAGCATTCGAAGTGCATACAAGAGTAAAACAAGGCTGGTCGCCTATTATCACTGATGATATTCCTAAATATGATGAACTCGATTATGTGTCAGACTGTTCACAGGGAGTGAAAAGACAGGAATACTATGGAACGGTATGAAGACCCTAGAAGATCTGGAATTCGAGGTGGATGATTTATGTTCAGTGTTACACAAACTCGAAGACTTATTGGCGAAAAACACCAAACTGTCTGAAGAGGCTGGCAGCGAAGACACGACTCCAGGTGAACATAGAGGAGATGCAGGTGATCAAGATAAAAAGCCATCACCAACAGCAACAACAACAACCAGCACCAATCACCATCACCTTCACTTATCTAGGAAACACGGTTCCAACCACAGGCCGGCGGAACAGATGAAGATGTCAAAGCCAGCCAGTCAGAATCGGAAAGTCATGGTATGCCTTCATCAACCTGAAACCAGCTTGGAAATCTTCTGCACTCCGCCTGAGCCAGCACAA